GCGGAGCGAACGCGCAGTTCCCGCTCCCGTTATCGCTCTGGCGGCTGTGCGCACATGATACTGCCCGACGTCACCCCGAGCGACCTCCTGTTTACAGCGGCCGGAGCGCTTCTTAGGGGATTACAATTCAGGCTCGTGTCTAAGTGGGCGCTGTACAAGTATTCCGTCCGGGAACACGCTGTGTCTTACTGTCATGTAAACAGCGTTCTGCATAAACATATAACGCCTAACTCTTAGATGAGCCGGCTAGTGAAAACCTCACGATTGCAGAGAAATAGAGTCCTGAAGTTCATGGGAAATCAGCAATCTGTATCTCTATCTTGAAACTTCCCTTAAGCGAAAACTATATTTTGGATTTATTCATAGGCTCGACTAATGGATGTGAGAGAACTTCTTTTGCATTTTTGCGACAAGAACTTCCTGTGAGGTTTGCAAACATCTTGAAAGAAATTGATCTTCTTCCTGATAAATTACTAAGCACTCCATCAGTAAAATTAGTAAGAAGCTGGTAAGTATGAACTGCTCTAATTAAGCATGCAAAGTTACACAGCTTTGAGATACAGACTTCTTTGAATAGTAGAAAGTATAACAAAATACAGTAGAAATACAGTTCCTTCATGAAATCTGAGTTGCAAGCTGTTACACACTTTCTTTTTCTAGCATACTAAAATTAAATTGCAAACCAATATGATTATATTGTTATCTTTAAATAGGTGTGGGGGGCAGGGAGTTAACAGTTTGAAATAGAGAAGGGAGAAAAGAAAACGTGTTCTGTTTCCATACAGCATTACAGACTCTTGGACCCACACGAAAGGGGAAAGCAGGCTATGTACTTGTTTTGATCTCTCACTGAAGGAGTTACTAACTGAGCTTCTATGTCAAAGTATATTGTCTTGACCTGTGCAACAAGTGTTTGAAATTCAATTACCATAATCCCTGCAGTTGACACAGTGGTTGAATCTGATTTAACCTTGTTTACTGGCTCAGTTGCATCATTTGCCAGGATGGCTGACATAAAGAGCAGAAGTGTTAGAGTCAGATCTAAAAACTCTTCTTAATATAGCAAACTGCTGGGCCTTTGCTGTATGCGTCAGGGCTGTCAGATGTTAGTGCAAGCGGCTCAGCTACTTAGCTTCTGCCAAAGCTGATCAGATTTGGAAAAATTTTGCTTAAGTGGATTCCTGATTGGCATTGTCATTTGGATCTTCTTTTGAAATGCATATCTTGTAAAGAATAATAAGGGGATCTTGTGTACCTTAAGGGAGGGCTTAGATTTCTGGTGACAGGCACAAGAAAGACTGAAAACTTCTGGAGTTCAGGCAGCCAAGAGATGTCCATCTGTCATTCCATTGTTGGTTGTAACTTGGATATTTCAAAGATACTTAAAGCTCCTAGATGACTTATTAGGACTAATGATGTGCATAAACATTTTTGATATATGCTATTAATTTGATTTTTACTAATCTAGCAATATTTCTTATCTTCTTCAATAGGTACATCCAAAGCCTAAAGGAGTTGATTGAATTCCATCAGAAAAGCCCAGATGACCAAAAAGTCTTATCTGAGTAAGCTTTTCATGTTTTTCTTTGAACTTTTTAGGTCACATTCTACTTGTCACAGTATATTCACTTTAGACTAACAGCCACGATGAGCTGAATTTGATAATCTAGCAGGAAGAGCTG